GGGCTATTATCTACTGCGTATATTCATCAGAGCCCAGGTGGTTGCAATTCCAGCATTTTGCCCGGATGAGGTCAGTGTTTCAGAGTCTCAGAAGTACGCTTGTGCCCCATGCGTGCCCTGCGTGCTTATGTGAACAGAACTAGCCAGTTTCGAACTTCGGAGCAGCTCTTCGTCTGCTACGCGGGTGCTAAGAGGCGGCGCGCTGTCGAAACGGAGGCTATCTCACTGGATAGTGGAGGCTGTGCACTGGCTGGCTTATGCTTCACGGGAAGCCGTTTCCCTATAGGGGTGCACGCCCACTCCACTAGGAGTTTGGCGTCATCATGGGCGTGGGCGAAAGGCATGTCTATTCAAGACATTTGTTTCGCGGCAGGTTGGTCGTCTCGTAATACCTTCGCGAGATTCATAGCCGGCAGTATTTTCCTAAGCACCAATCACTTGCTGCAATCTCCCTCCATTCAGTTCAGCGTGCTTAGCTTGATGGGAGGGGCCTTCGTTGGTGCAGATGCCGAGTTGGCTCTGTGCCAATAGATGTTTCAACCAGGTCCGGTGTCTGTTCCTGAGAGCTGGGCGGGGTTTCTCCCACGCGGCGGGGGTTTTATTGTTCCCCATACGTAATGTCGAGAGACCGACTCGATAAGGGAACGTCTCTGGTTACTCACGTAACCGTAGTTCCCTGAGAGGAGGGAACGAGACATTACGTAACCTGCCGTGTGGGAGGGACTCTCAATCTCCTTACTCTCGTTCAGCTAAGATTCTGAGGTTTTTGGCGCCCGCCGTCACCTATATTGAGCAGTGTCAGCCAATCAGGTGATGGCGGGACCGCCATTGGCTATTTGCAAGCAAAAGAGTTATTCTATCAGACTTCATGATTCGAGGAAAATGGATTTCCCCATACGTAATGTCTCGTTCCCTCCTCTCAGGGAACTACGGTTACGTGAGTAACCAGAGACGTTCTCTTTCCCGCTTGAACGAACAATAACACAAACAATTATGCCAAACTGTCTGTTTTGTCTAGTATCCTCATAAGAGCAGTCTTAAAAGAGTTAAAGTCTTAAATTTAAAGAGTTGTGGGAAAATAGGATGTATGTTCAGATCCGCATCATGTGCAGCAGTGGCAGGTCTTAAAGTGACAGCAGCCACTAATGCTGTCTGTCATTAATGTTAATCAAAGGTAACAGAGAAAATTACTGCTCTTGATAAAATAACTTTTGTAGCTTTAATAAGGATTAATCTGTATTTAATTTATATTTATGCAGTGCAGGCTGTTATTCAATTTCTGTATATTTCCTACCTTTTAGACAGGTAGGATGGGCACAGGTAAATATGACATTTATTATGGGTTTATGAGAGGATTGTTTTGAGGTCACTTAATTTAAAAGTTGTTATATTTTTTAAAGCCTAATAAATGTTAAAATATTAGCTTTCAGTTACACTGGAATGTTGAATTGCTATACTTAATGTTTAAAATTGAAAAAGAAAATATTGAGACATACTGGCCTTTAATCATATAAAAAATGCCATTAAATGGTTCTACATTAATTTGGAGATTAATTGTGAAATGATTACATTATAAAATATAATAAGAAGTAATAAAATTTAAAAGTTAATCGATTAATCAGAAAAAATGTGATTCGTTGTTTTTTTTTATCTATTGACAGCACTCTATATATAATAATATATATATATATATATATATATATATATATATATATATATATATAATCATAATACCTATTTTGTTTAAGGTTACAAGGCAAAAAAACTAAATGTACAACATCAACAAATGTAAAAAAAGGCCATCCTTATTGTTGAGCCCTGTAATGACAGTAAAAAAAAAAAAATGCAATAAAAAATCTACAGGCAAGTTGTCTCAGCAAAAAACAAGAGCAGGCACTTCTTGCATTTAAAAAACACTAGAACTGAACACAATGGTATGAAAATAAAAGAAGCATTATATTGACTTCTGAAGACACTTTTTGATGCGTGTTCGCTGCTTTACTTGTGTGCCGTGTGTGTGTTTTTGTGTCAGAGAAACATATCTGTGTCATCATACATTGACACTAGGGATGCCACAATTCTCAGTATAATATTGGACCGTTCGATACGACTTTTTTTGCATACGAGCTGCCACTGAGATAAGGAAACTCCTCCACTTGAGTAAATATCTAATCACTATGCACTGAAGTTAGGGGGCGCTTAACCATCCTTGCAACGCTGGTGTCAGATTGCACACTTTATTTATCACTAGCGGTGAAGTGAGGCTGCAGTACGAGGAAGCACCACCGTCTTTCACATCTGTGGTGTCGGGACATTTAGGTTTTACTATTATCAATGCAGAGGAAGGAAAAACGATAAACAACAAATGACTGTGTGCAAGCATTGTTTTACATGTCACCTACTCAAGTGGAAACACTTCCAACATGACTGCACATCTGCGGCGCCATCACCCAGCAATATCACTGTCTGAAAGCAGGATAGCAGAGCAGGTGATACAGTCCTCCAAAAAGCAACAGTCCCTCGCTATTCCTTCCAGCATAAATACCCAACTGGTTCTGAGAGACGCTCGATCTGCATTACAGATTACCGTCTTCCACTTTTTTTCAGTGCCGAGGTAAATCTCGACCTCTATGAAAACAAACGCAACTGTATCGTAGGTGAATTGTATATTATACAATATACTAGGGATGTGTACAGGTGGAATCTGTTTGCTTTTAAGTAAAATATAGAAAGAGTATTGCAATAAAAGTCATTTTTCTCCGTAACCTCTTACTGTTTCTGATGCCTAAGCATAGAATAACAAAAAACACACTGATGTGCCAAGCCATCAGATCCGAACCGAACCAAAAAACGTGATTAAAAAACCGAGATATCTATTGAACCGTGGGCTAACTGTATTGTTGCATCCCTAATTGACACCACATACACAATGGCCTTGTACCACCCCAAGACCCTCTTTAGCACATTCTGTCTCTCTCTTTCACTCTCCCTCTGAGATCTCCATATTTTATTTACACTGGTAGTGCCAGGCTGGTGTCTCTGTGCTGTAATTTCATCTGTCGCCTGCTGCTGAGGACACCACCATCCTCACGCAACCCCTCTACATTCGCATTATCATGGCTTTCTTCCACCCTTTTACACTCATCTCCTGTATATGATACGTGTTGCTTCTGACAAGTGTATGTGTGTTAATATTTGTGGGCTTCTGTGCATTTTAGGGTTGTTGTTTTGGAGAGCCGGCCTACGGATAACCCTACCGCTCTCAGTAACCTCTACATCCTGGCTGGACATGAGAACAGTTATTAGCTCCTCCCCCTTCAGCCATTCAGGCACGCTGCACCTGGAGCCGTTGCAGGAACGGCACAGATGCTGGACAACCACAGCTGAGCTGATGAGCAGACTGTGTTTAGTGCTAAATCTCACTGCAGCCTTATACCATACACCGCCCACCGCCAGAAACCCCCGGACTTCTCAACACTTCAGGCATTCAAAATCAAATATCATGCAGTTCTACAGCAGCCAGTCAGATTTGTGCAAATCAAGCAAGCAATCGCCAGAACTGCAAGCAATAGTGCTCTGTATTCAATACTCTTCTTTTTTTTTAACCCTATTAAATGTAATCATTCTAAACATGTAAAAAACATTAAAGCTGCAAAGATTAGAACATTGAGCAAAGAGCGTTGCTGCTCAAAAAGTGCCATATAAGGGAATGGTTTTATTAAACGTAACTAACTTCGGAGGTTTTGTGTTAATGTGGATTTAAAATATCAGGTTTTCATGCCAGCTAATGGGGAGAGTTTTGGGAGAGTGAGTGAGTGTTATTTATTCAGCGGAGTCGTGTGAGTGAAGCATCTCGCCCTCATGTTACTGAGTGAATATTTTTCTGCTGCAGGTCATTTTAATCTTGTTTTTTTTTTTGCTCTTATTTTCTCCAGCTGAGTAATATTTTAAAATATCAGTTATCTCTTTTAAAAGTAACTTTAATTCAATACTTGCACCATGTAAGCACTTTTGTACATGATCTTTTTATATTTAAAAATGACAAAACATGGGAGATGCGAGGTTACTGTGATATCTCAAGTGTTTCCGTTGCTTTAGTTTTATGTATGCAGCTTTTGTAATAAAAAGGCAGTTGTTAACACTTTGGGATGTTTTTGATTATTTGTGAAAGAAATTTCAAATAAATATCCACACAAATATAGTGGAAGCCTCTTGAAACCAACATGGTTTGACATGCTCACTAGGAAAAAAACTTTGTGTGGGCTGATTATTGTTTGTAATGGGCAGGATTCTATTTTTGTTGTCTAATTAATTCAAGTACACTGATATACCCAGAAGTATTTTTTACAAGTGTATAGTGTAGTGTGTGATCAACTAAGGGAGTTGTTTGTTCTTACACCTTACTCAATAACAAAAAAATCTCTTGCGGATATGTGTGTGCGAGACAGTGTTTAAAGGAATAGTTCATCCAAAAAATGAAAATTCTGTCATCATTTACTCACGCTCAAGTTGTTCCAAAACTATGAATTTCTTCTTCTGAACACAAAAGAACATATTTTGAAGAATATGGGTAACCACACAGTTCTGGGGCACCATTGACTTCCATAGTATGGGAAAAAAATATTCAATGGAAGTCGATGGGGCCCATCAACCGTTTGGTTTCAAACATTCTTCAAAATATCTCCCTTTGTGTTCAGCATAACAAAGACATTTATACAGGTTTGAAACAACATGAGGGCGAGTAAATGGTGACAGAATTTTCATTTTAGGGTGAACTATCCCTTTAACAGAAACTTTTATCTGCGTGCGCGTCACCTCGCGCTCGCTCGCACTGTTGGGTATGTGGAGGTGGAAAAAAAAGACTGCGTTGTATTTGATTTGTCCTCGGATGAAGGGATTTACGGTCCCACTGCTTTCGGCTCGTAAATGGCTGATCTGAGGTCAGCTCTTGTGGATTGTTTCGAGCTTTTATCGTGTTGCTGTCATAGGTTGCTGTGCAGACTGAAGCGCGCGCAGAGTGGAGGCGGAGTTTCGACTCGGTTTCTACGGCGACCGGCCGCTTGTAAATAGCGTGTTCTTCTCCATGCGAACTCAAACAGTTTCTTGTTGTACGCGGACACACGGCTACATCTGTCGTCAGATTCACTCAACACAAACTTCTTTGCGTATGTGACACATTTCGATCTCAGGAAGTTGCGCTTTGTGTACGCTTTTTTTTTAATCGTGAAGCAAATATTTGGATGAGACATTGGAAGGTAAGCTCTCACTCTCTCTCTCTCTCTCTCTCTCTCTCTCTCTCTATTAGAAAATATAAGATGTGTATTGTAGTTTTTTATATATATATATATAATTCTTCTTGGTAACTAGAACTGATCTTGACCACAATCATGTTACATAACAGTAAGACTTCAGTTACTCAAAATACATATTGTCATATAAACTTTCAAGAAATTATTTCAGAAATAAAATTCAGTGACCAGCTGATGTTTGCCTAAAAAAAAAAGTCAAGTCATCTTTATTTATATAGCGCTTTTTACAATACAGATTGTATCAAAGCAGCTTCACAGTGATAACATTAAAATAAATACAAGAAGTTTGTTTCTAGAATAAAATTGTTTCATCGTCCACCTGAAGTAAGGCAGATCAAAAATATTGTTGAATAATTCAATGTCGTGTGAGGAATTAAGTTTGGTGTTTCTTCCTTCTAGGGGCCCACAATGTTATTTTTTATAAAGGCAAGGGGCCCAGAACACTATTTTGGTAACACTTTATTTTAAAAATGTCCTTGTTACAAGTAACATGTACTATAGTTGTACTTATTTTTGTAATTACACTGTAACAGGGACACCTTAAAAATATTTACGTGTTTTTAACCTATATCCCTGTATCTGTCATTTACAAGCCTCATATTTGGCTCCAGATTGTTTTGTTTTTTTCACATTTAGATCAACATCAAGGTGAGACAGTATCTTAAGTGTGTTCTGCTGGTGTCACAGAGATGGAGAAGTATGAGAAGATCAGCAAGATTGGTGAAGGCTCGTACGGCGTCGTGTTCAAATGCAGGAATAAAGACACCGGACAGATCGTCGCCATCAAGAAGTTTGTAGAATCTGAGGATGATCCAATCATTAAGAAAATAGCGCTCAGAGAAATCCGCATGCTGAAGGTAAATGCTCAGTCTGACCCTGTGGGAATAATCCCAGTTTAAACCAGCCTAAGTGGTTTGCTGGTTTTAGCTGGTTTAAGATGGTTCCCCAGCCTGGGCAAGCTGGTTTCTTAGGATGGCCAGTTATTAAATGCCCAGAACCCCTTTAAAACTAGCCAAAAGACAGTAAGACCAGCAAATCTGTTTAGGCTGATTTAAGATCACCATTTGTAGACTTGAAGAATAGTTAGCAGTATTTTTGTCTCATTAGTCAGCATGTGGCAGTAGGATGTTTCAATAATCAGTGTCTGGAGCTCTTGTGTGATTTGCAAACTCTTTCCTTTGAGCTGAGAGCAAAGCCGTGGCCCTTTGAAGATCTGACATGTCAGCCAACACTGGCTTACCAATTATTTTCACTCTGTTATGCATGAAGGCATGGATGGATGGATGACTATTCTTGTTGTTCCCTTCCCCTCCCTTGAGGGTATTTTTTTATTATTTGTTCAGTCATGATAGCAGGCAATCATACTGTACCACAGATTTTGGTCCATTTATTTGACTTTGGGCTGTAAAAATGTGTGTGTGTGTGTGTGTTTTATATATATATATATATATATATATATATATATATATTATTTTGTCTCTAAAAGTAGTGCCAGTTTATTCTAAGTTCATACGTAAGTTAATGTATGTATGTTTAATGCAGCTGGGGTGGATGGTGACCTAAAGCTTTTTTTTAAATATATTTTCAGTTTACATTTTAGTTTTAGTTTGTCATTTATATGCTTATGTCATTTAAAAAAAAAAAAAAAATCTATTTAGCTTTATTTTTATTCCAATTTTAGTTTTAGTAATTTAGTAGTTAAACTCTAATTTATAAAATAAAGTTTATTACTAAATAAAAATGTTTATATTTGTTATTTTAGCCTTATTTCAATTACCAAACAAGATTTTAATCTTGTTCAACCTTAAAATAGTTTAGTTTAGTTAACAATAACTACACTGATATGGGGTGTGTTTGTCATTGTGTGTGTGTTTTAATGAAATGCATCTAATAAGAATTGAAGCTGCTTTTTTAACATGTAAACACACAGTTCACCCAAAAATGAAAATTTTGTCAGATTTTTTTCCAAACCTGTATGAGTTTCCTCCTGCTCAACACAAAAGAAGATATCTTAAACATTGTTGGTAACCAGACAGTTGAGGGTAGCCATTGACTTCCATAGTAGGAAAGGAAAGAAAATAAAAACTAGCCTATCAATGGATGTTGTCAACTGTTTGGTTACCAACAAGGTTTAAAATATTTTCTTTTGTGTTGAGGAGAAGAAGGAAACTCATAAAGGTTTGGAACAACATGAGGGTGAGTGCCGTAAATGATGACAATTTTCGTTTTGGGGTGATTTATCCCTTTAATCAATTGTACACATTAAGGGCCAGATTTACTACTAACAGCTTGTGCCAGCGCAATCCCTCTTTTGGCATTAAAAAAGTACTGTCAGGATTTACTAAAGACACGCAGTGAAAAATTTGAGCTGAAAAGGCGTGGACCGTTATTTTTGCGGCGTTTGTAGGAGTTTCCCTTTCAGGCGCAAAATTTATGGGAGGAGAGTATTTAAATGAGTCACGCATGGTGATTTACTAAGGTTTGCGCTTGTCAATGTACTGGTGTTTGCGCCATTATTTACCGCCCAAAAAAGCACGTCTTAAACCAGACAATAACTCTTAGATTGCGTTGGTCATTAAGGAAATGATAATTTGCGTCTGTGTTCTTTAATGTGCAGAACTTTCCACTCCCATCGGCGCTGTTTTGGAATCGCGCGCTCACGCTAATTTGCCCTGTGTAATAGGGTCCAAAAGTCTCAGACAGGCAGCATTGGAAATAATGGACGTTTTAGGACTTTTTTGATCATGCAAAATAAATAAGAAATATTTAAGATTATGCAGTATTTGGTCACTAGATTTGTGACATTGTCCATGCAAACTCTTCTGTTCAGACTATCTATCATATGTTCTTTCTTTCATTGAAGCACAAGATGTTCATCTCTAATGCTGGAGAACATAATCCTCACGTTTTACACCAACTTGTGTCATTCATTTTTAAAGCAAGGGGGCAGACTAAATACTAAGATGTTTGGAAAAACTTCTGATTAAATCAGAATTGGATAAGAAGCATTTTCACTAGCGGTCTTAGACTTTTTGGGATATATTTCCACCCATATAAATCCTAATTTGTGCTTTACATTGTTTGTCTAGCAACTGAAACATCCAAACCTGGTGAATCTGATGGAGGTGTTCAGAAGAAAGAGAAAACTGCACCTGGTGTTTGAGTACTGCGACCACACTGTCCTAAATGAGCTGGACAGATACCCACGAGGGTGAGCACACACACATACACACATGCAGACACACCTATAAAACAGCTCTGTGTTTCTCACACTAACAGACATATTGTTTTTGTTGCCATGACACCCAGCATGTCTTTAGTGGAATGTTTACAGCAGGATGCATTTGCCCTCTGTGGTGCACTTGACTAAAACGCTGTTAAACATTTAACAACATTTAACTCTTTCTGCCGTCCTCTTGATTTACGAGTCAGGAATCAACAAAGCTTACACAAAAAGATCACTTATACATGCACATAGACAATGAACCTATAGGGTTAGTGTGAAGTTCAGTAGGAGGGTTGAGATAGACAGAAGGGGCAGAGAAGAATTAATAGTTAAAGGGATAGTTCACCCAAAAATTAAAATTGTGTCATTAATTTCTCACCCTCATGTCGTTCCAAACACATCTTCGGAACACATCTTTTTAATGAAATCTGAAAGCTTTCTGTCCCTCCATTGACAGCTACGCAACTACCACTTTGACGCTTCAAAAAGTTCATAAAGAGATCATAAAACTAATCCATATGAATTGAGCGGTTTAGTCCAATTTTTCTGAAGAGACTCAATCGCTTTATATGATGAGCAGATTTAATTTAGATTTAACTTTTATTCATATATAAACATTCCTCAACTCACACATCAGTTGTGGTAAACTGAAGCTCAACCATGTTCACTTGATATGCGAGAACCAATGAGGTTCATTCTCGTGTTACGCAGCTCGTTTGAGCTTCCTCAAGAACCAATGAGGTTCATTCTCGTGTTACGCAGCTCGTTTGAGCTTCCTCAAGAACCAATGAGGTTCATTTTCGTGTTACGCAGCTCGTTTGAGCTTCCTCAAGAACCAATGAGGTTCATTTTCGTGTTACGCAGCTCGTTTGAGCTTCCTGAAGAACCAATGAGGTTCATTCTCGTGTTACGCAGCTCGTTTGAGCTTCCTCAAGAACCAATGAGGTTCATTCTCGTGTTACGCAGCTCGTTTGAGCTTCCTCAAGAACCAATGAGGTTCATTTTCGTGTTACGCAGCTCGTTTGAGCTTCCTGAAGAACCAATGAGGTTCATTCTCGTGTTACGCAGCTCGTTTGAGCTTCCTCAAGAACCAATGAGGTTCATTCTCGTGTTACGCAGCTCGTTTGAGCTTCCTCAAGAACCAATGAGGTTCATTCTCGTGTTACGCAGCTCGTTTGAGCTTCCTCAAGAACCAATGAGGTTCATTCTCGTGTTACGCAGCTCGTTTGAGCTTCAGCAAGAATATATAAGAACCAATGAGGTATGTTCTCGCCTGCAAGCAGGTTTGGTTGAGCTACTGTTTATGTTTGCTGATCAAAGTTTATATGTGAAAATGTTTTTAAATTTAATCTGTTTATCATATAAAGCGATCTTAGTCTTTTCTGAAAATTTGGACTAAACCGCTCATTTCATATGGATTAGTTCTACAATCTCTTTAAGAATTTTTTGAAGCGTCAAAGTGGTAGATAAAATACAAAAATATCTTAATTTGAGTTCCGAAGATGAACGAAAGTCTTACTGGTTTGGAACGACATGAGGGTAATGACAGAATTTTTGGGTGAACTATCCCTTTAATTACTTTTTTATTTCGAGCAATATAGTGAGATATAACTGGCAATAAAGAAGCATTTAATTCGATCTATACAACAAGGTAAATTCACCTTTAACAACATAAATCAATCAATTGCTTGAAACGGAGTGGGAAGAAGTCCGACTTATTTAGACCCACCCTGACCCTAGGTCTGTTACAATTTAATAGAAAAACAAAGGTAGCTGCTTCCTTAATTGATAACGTTATCATAACTCTCAATTACATATTTATATATACACGTATGAAAAAACACAAACATATCCACACACCATATATTACCGCATATATGGTAATCAGAATACCTACAAGGTAAGATAACACAGCCTATGAATACATCACCAGACGATTAAGCCCCGCCCTCCTTGTACTGTGACAAGACCTTCTGTTTATAGAGTGCTTTAAACTGGTGAATGGTTTGACATTCTTTGTGATCGAGCCCCAGACTATACCATAGTTTAACCCCGCATACAGACACACAAAAACTCCTCCTGGTGGTTTTGACCGTTGGTATTGAAAAGTTCCCATAGCTCCTCAAACTGTACAACGGCTCTCTCTGTGTGAATAACTTTTCTTTAAAGTAGAAAATGAGGTTTGTGTTCCTGTAACTGCATTGTGATGCTTTTGTGTGTGTGTGTGTGTTCACTCAGTGTTCCAGAGCACATGGTTAAAAGCATCATCTGGCAAACACTTCAGGCTGTGAACTTCTGCCACAAACAAAACGTAAGAATTTCAAACTCGTTGCCACTCTCTCCCACTCTTATATTCTCAACAGTATTACTAGTAATAGTAATAACAATAGTTATATTATATAATAATATAATATAAAGGCAGCTGCATTTATACTGTGTAAGAAAAGTGCCATAGTATAAAGACATGTTGTTTCTAAGGTTTAATACAGTTAAACATTTAAAAGCTAATTATTTAACAAGTTATTACAATATTATCTGGAAAATATTTACTTTATATGAAGTATTCAAATTTTGTAGATGTTAATAAATATTTTCTTTAATAAAATTAATGTAAGTTAATAATGTAAGTTAACTGACATTTACAAATGATAAAAAATTGTATTAATTAAGAATGAATATTATATATTTGGTTCATTTAAATATGAAATTACAAGTCTAGAAATAAATGATTTTTATTTATTTATTTTAAAATGCAATTACAAATCTAGTATAATGTAATACCATCAACATAATGTAACATAATGACATGACATAACATAATAACAATGTAAAAATCTGGATGTGGCAACTATGGAATTGTATCTTCCACTTGTTTTAGTAGACCCCCAACATCATATGCCTTGAACTGTATATTTGTTTCATGGTGCGTTCAAGCCATGTCGTAATTACTGTTATTCACGTGGTAGTAGAAGTTGCAATTACAGCATGTAAACTCGTAATTTTCTGAGAGATATGACGTGTACCACGTGGCCACTCTACCACCTGACCAGTGATGCGCGGGTTGATCCAAAATGAGCGGGTGCCTGCGGTCACCTGCGGTCACCCGCGGTTACGAGTCATCCAAAAATATTTTTAATGATATTCGGGTCGCGGTCGGTCGGGTCGTTTGAAATAAAGATGTCAATTAAACCTTTGTAATTTATATAGTAGCTACTAGACACACTTTTCTATGAAATACATAGGCCTACACTTCATTGGCTGAATAACTGGCACGAAGATGACGCACGAGCTCAGTCTGCAGGTAGAGATGGAGGCGGAGAGAGGAAAGATATCTAGCTGTAACGATATGCGACATGAAACCGAAATCACGACACTCAGATCCACGAACCTAAAGAATCGCGACACACCCCTTCCAACTCCAAGAGTTATCCTTCCCGTCCAGATCCAATGCTACCACATCTTTAAATTATATTAGTATTATTTGAATTTTGAAGTTAACATTATAAAATACGTAGACCAACACAACAAAACTAGTTGAGGATAGATTATTTAAAATTGGGGAATTCCAGCGTTATGGACGTGACATTTGCAGTCAAAAATAGGCCTATAAATTCTCAGAAAATGCATTTAATAGGCTACCAATATATTGAAACATCTGTTTATCTATACCCCCTTAAAGGAGTCCAAACATTAGAAACATATCAGGATACACATGCGTTTTATATTTATATGAGGGAAATAGGCTACACACGCATTCATGCGTGACAAAACAAATATTTAACTTTTAGGAGGCAAAATATTGTTTTTGTAATTCTGTGAATTACACTGCGCAAATCAAAAGTAATACTACCCACCGGATGAAGAAGGGTTGGCTCTCCACAGAACATAAAATATTCAATTTATTTTATTTTTCGTGTTCGCATTTATGAGGAAAAAACAATGTAAGGACGTGACAGTTCTCCGTTACGGACGCGACCGCTCTGAAGCGGCACTAAAAGACTGATTTAAAACTTTCACAGAGACCTCAAAACAGAAGACACAAAGCCTTTCTTTAAAGTGAATTTCGATTTGTACTAATTGTATCTTATTTTTAATCAATGTTTCATCAACCAATTGCCTGGATTTAATAAATAAGAAGTAAATATAGCAGACAATAGATCACGACACGGAGGCGCCGGCGCGTGCACTGGAGCGCGTCTCATTAATTAACCGAAACTCAGCGTATATGGTAGCCTACTTCACAGACCTGAAAAATATATCTATATTGAAATGTCTACTTGTAAACAGAACAATTCAAAACAAAAGAAAACGGACTGCTCTCTGCTTATCTGTATGAAATGTGCATTTCTCTCTGGCGCATTCACTACTGCGAAGATCGCGAGTCAGCAACGTCAACTTCATGTTTATTAATAAACAATTAGCCTACTTCTTGCGTTACACGTCTAATGGCCCAATGACGCTACGATGAGCATTTACTACTTTTAAAAAATGCGGGTCGGGTACAATATTTTCTTTCTTTTTTTTTGCGGTCCGAGTTGCGGGCGGGTTAGTTGAAAACGTCGGTCGGGTGCGGGTTGTTTATACATTGACCTGCGCATCACTGCACTTGACCACTGCAGATTTAAGGTGTGTTCGACTTAAAGCAGCGCTGTTTTACCGTTTTATGGCGTAAACGCAGCATAATAATATTAATTACCAGAAGAGGCGGGATCCAGATCCAGCCACTCCAGAATTGCACCTATGTAAGTGGTTCCACCAGTTTTCAGTCAGTTTAATATTAGTAATTCGTCTTAAAACATCTGATCTAAAAACAGTATTAAGGTGGTGGTTCTCAACTCTGGTCCTGGGCACCGCTCTACACATTTTGTATGTCTTCTTTATTTACCAATATATTAAGTTGGGTATCATCAGCTTATTAGAAAAGATCTCCACAAACTGAAGTGAGTGTGTCAGATAAGGGAGGCATACAACATGTGCTGAGCGGCGTTGAGAGTCACTGTTCTAAGAGACTCTCAGATTGATTTAAAAGTGTGTGTTTTAGTGTATCCACAGAGACGTGAAGCCTGAAAATATTCTCATCACCAAGCATCAGGTCATCAAACTCTGCGACTTTGGCTTTGCCAGAATCCTCAGTACGTGCAGTCCATACACTTAAACCACACACACTCTGCACCTGCACCGTTTCATTCATCTAATGGCTCACTCTTTTTTTCAGCGGGTCCATGTGATTATTACACGGATTATGTAGCGACGCGGTGGTACAGAGCTCCAGAACTGTTAGTGGGAGACACACAGTACGGCCCGCCAGTAGACGTCTGGGCAGTGGGGTGTGTGTTTGCAGAGCTGCTCTCTGGCGCCCCCTTATGGCCGGGCAAATCTGATGTAGATCAGCTGTATCTGATTAGGAAAACTCTGGGTAAGAGACAGACATGTGACTCTAGCTGTTTATATCATGTGTGAATAGATGCATGACATGAATACATTTTTTTTCGTGTTGTTGTGTTCATAGGCGAGTTGATTCCTCGACACCAGCAGGTGTTCAGCACTAACCAGTTCTTTAGCGGAGTTTGTGTCCCCGAACCACAGGAGACGGTAAGATGATCATTAACTTTTCATTCAGCATAAGTTCATTTCTGGAGTTCTAGAAAGTAAACACACTGTACATGTGTCTTATGCACAGGAGCCTCTTGAACTGAGGTATCCAAACCTGTCGTACCAGGCACTGAGCCTCATGAAGGTCAGTTAACACACACACACACACACACACACACACACACACACACACACACACACACACACACACCATTCATTCAGAAATCTACTGCGCACTCAGAACCAGAACCTCTCTGTCTGTCTTAGGGTTGTCTGCAAATGGATCCGGCTGAAAGGTTGTCCTGTGAGCAGTTACTAGAACAGCCATACTTTGACAGTTTGAGAGAGGAGAATGAGAGTGCGACGCGTGAACTGGACCGAAAGCGACGCGTACGCCAGCCACGGAAACACCTGCCTCCTGGGGTCTGTTGCCACGACTACAACACTCACACCTAGGGCTAGGCTGTATGACCCTTTATAGTGTGCGTTGATAGTTCAAGCTGTTGATATATATTTATATATAGGGTACAAAGGGACTAAAGGCGCCTTTGATTTTATTTTCCTCTACACTGTGGTACAGCAACTTGTCGCAGCACTTTCCAAAACATCGTTTTTTAAGATGCACATGGAAATTTGGCTGATCCTTGACGCGAACAGCAGCGCAAAGTTGATTCTGTGCTAATTTGATCTAATATTTGATGGGGTTTTTTTTACATTTTGTAGATTTAAGTAGCAAATGAGAAAAGCAAAAACATATATATTTTGAGACAAAAGTCTTCTTAATGATTTTCAAGATTTTGTTCAAGCTAATTAAAGGAACCGGTTTTGGGAACGGAAGAATATGTAAAAGGATGGTATTTGGGGTCAAAGGCGCCCCTGCTGTCAGGGCGAAAGGCACAATAATTGACAGAATAAACAGCTGGCTGACTTTTGTTGATATATGACATGGTTAGATTCAGACGGTAAATATCATACATTAAGTCGAGTGTCCACCTTAGAGATAATCACCATATTTATAATGAAACCATCATATTAAAAAAAAATATTATATTAATCATATCATATAATAAAATATGTATTGTTACTACTGTACATCTATATTAAATTATTATGGGATCTCCTTCAATTCTTTCAGAATTTTTACTTTTAAAATAATTTTGTTTCTGTGTTTTTAAAATATACTTTTATATTAACATTTTAATGACAGTACATTTATTGAACAAAAATGAATTATTTTATTTATTAAAATAAACAGAATATAGTTTTATATATAGTAACTTTGCTAAAGTGATTGTTTTGAACAAGTATTAACTTAGACATTATTAAAATGTATTTTAGCTGAAGTATTTGTATAAATGTGTGACTGATAATAATAAGAAATGTTTCTTGAGCAGCAAATCAGTATATTAGAAGGATCATGTGACACTAAAGACTGGAGTAATGATGCTGAAAATTCAGCTTTACTATCACAGGAATAAATGACATTTTATAATACATCATCAAAATAATATCTGTTATCTTAAATTGTAAAAATCTTAAATTACATTTAAATAAAATAATTTGATCAAATAAATTTGCCTTGGTGGACATAAGAGACTTCTTTCAAAAACATTTTTAAAAAGCGCAAAGTTTTTTTTAACTCTTTTGGGAATATTTCTTTCTTTCTTTAGACCCAAAAATAACTGTATTGTGAAATAAACCGTTCATTTAAAACTACTTAATAAAACATTTTGTCATACTGCCCATCCCCACTCTCACGCTCATAGAAATACCTCATTTATTTTAATATATCAAATCAAATCCACGTTCTCTGTTTGTGTAGTATCTGCCTCAGTTGGCCAGCAGTACTGTCTTCCCAGCCGTGGAGAACAGAAAATACTACAACAACCTGCGCAAATTCAACTGTCATCTGCCCAACATATGATGGACGCCGACTCATCAGGAACCCGAGAACCGAGCGTCCACCTCCCAGCTGGTGTGTGAGATAGACAAAGGGCTCTGCTCTGCCTGTAGAAGAATGATGTCACACTGCCAAAGCAAAGACTCACAGAAGCATTTCTGTAATATGTAAAATAACAACAGCAATAATAATAGCATTAAAATTGGATGTTGTGCTGTGCTTGATATTTTGATTAGAAACTGACATCAGTGCTATAGAAGAGTTTGCTCTGTGGGACAGATTTTTTTAGATTATTAGATACAGATGTTTTTCTTAATTATAAACGCTAATGATGCTTCATGTATGTATGCATGAAGTGTGTATATATGACAATAATTTGTAAAAACGTATCCAGGCACAAAACAGAATCTGCAGACTTTTCTGTGGAGAAAGACTTTGAAACTCTGCAGAATGCATTTTGTTCGTAAAAAGTGTAAAACGGAATTGTGATTTGCTGAAAGCAAATTAGCCAAAATATTTAAGAAATTAACACACAAGGGTTTGAGGATGTATAGAACTTGTAGAGAAATCTGTGGCTCTTTCTGTGTTCCTGGACATAACCCTGTGTTTTGTTTGACAACATTTATTACCCAATTGTGGACATAATGATCTTTATTGTTGCCTTTACGACTGGTGCTAATAATTGAGCCACTGTCTCGCACCAAATGCCAAATTCGAGAGACATGAGCAAACGTGTTTTTTTGTGTTGAGATGTATAGATGTAAAATTGTTTGTTTTCAGACTAAATCATTAAAGATCTTTCTGCAACATATATTTGTTTCTATAGCTTCTTTATAAGAAACAAAGCAAGAAATGTGTGAAGAAAAAAACAACAAAAAACTACAGCTGAAAATTTATTGTTAACAGCACCATAAGATTGTTCATCTGCCCTGGGTGGTCTGACCAAACACTTTATTTAATTAATCAAAGCTGATTCGGTGGGAAGCAAACCGGTGTTGTTGATTTGCCTTTAAAGCAAAGCAGCTCGCTGGATCCGTCTCTGGGATGCTCAGTTGCTTGAATACTGTTGCCACAGGAGTCATGGACATCCTCCAGAGGGGTTTTCTGGCCTAGTCACAAGGCTGTGAGAGTTGTGGTGTTCCAAATGTGCTCTGAGAGACGATGTGATTGGTTAAGCGAGATCCAGTTCTATGGCGAGTCCGGGAAGTGCGGTCTGGAGTCTGTCCACAGTCTGAGCTTTATCTTTTACACCAGGGAGATCACTGAGAAATAGCAACTCCAGGTTCCTGATACACACAAGCACACAATCTGAGGTGACGGTTGTTACTCAAACCAATGTGTCGTCCAGGGCTGTGTTTAGGGCGTTTTCAGACCTTTTGCTTAGTTCCGAAACAGGGACTTAATTTGTTGCATTTTCTTCTTGGTTCGGTTCGCTTTCACAAGCCAACATTTCAAACATACCAAAATGTGTTTATGCAAGTCTCATGTGAGTAAAACTGTCCACTTATTGGTCAGAGTTCACCTGTTTACGTTCCTCTGCGTGTCTGACAAGTTCGCTCCACGGGCTTATTGTGGCTTTATCTGTAGCTGTCGTGACACATGCAAACCCTTGTACGAATGTAGCCTAAATTCTAGCTCTGACTGATAAATGATATTTAAAATTATATATATATATATATAAAACGTATAATGCAGTTAGAATGGGAAACAAGGCTTCGTCAGGACAGCATTGTTGCATCATTGTACCATCGTTTAGGAGATCTCGGAGTGATTGTTTTGGTGCGAATCCAAGCGCGATTGCCGTGTTCATACAGTATATGCCTAAACGAACCGAACTAAGGGAGAAAACCCACCAGGTTCCGAAACAAACGCTCCAAGCGAGGTGTGAAAACGCCCAAGACTAAGTAGATTGTAGAAACTTTAGGCAACATTGGTCTCTGTTCAACTGAGGCTCACAATGCTTCTGGGAAATGCATTCCTGGCTGATAAATCTTCTGATATTTGGTCATTTGAGATCAACCTCATCCAATCACTGTCCTCATTTGGCATACACAAAATGTAATGCGTACATAAGTAATATGGTGCTAAATTGAAAATGAAAAGATGCTGTTGTCATACCTGAGCTGATGAAGAGCGATGAGTCCTTTATCCGTCACATTACCACAGGAAACTACCGTCATGTTCTTCACACTGTCCTGCAGCGTCTTTATTTGACTCAAACGCTCCAGACAGGCGTCTTCTATATAAATACACTTATTTAACCTGATTTCCTCCAAGTGCTCGAGACCCTCTAAACACAAATACAAAGGCAACCTTTATTGAGTACAGTAGGTGTAATGTAAAATGTAGTGTACTGTATAGTAAAACTAGATGTGTGAAAAGAGAGAGAACCGCACTGTATCTGTCAGTGTAAAACACCCTTTTGCTTTACGTCACTTTTTCCCACAACTGAACCTCTCATCCTCACCTGTGACACACAGACAGTGTCTCATCCTCACCTGTGACACACAAACGGTGTCTCAGTGTCTCACCACATCTCACACACACACATAGCGTCCTCACAAACTTTCCCTCTCTGGGGTCTAATTTAATAAATAATGCAAGATTGTTTTGCTGGAGCAAATGGAGTAAGAGATCTTGGCCGTCTCCATTCACTAATGATTTCATTAAATTTGCATAGGTAATGTACAGTAACAATGCTAAAGGTTAAAAGATAATTTTCCTACATAAAGGTAACTGGGTGAGGTCAGTGAGAAGGGTGTTTATGTGCGTTTAATCGATCATTCGGCACTGCAGCATTCACTTACCCAGGTGATCAAAACCACGATACATGATGCAGGACTCTGTGGCATCAATAGCTTCTATCCTGTACCGGCCCAGCGGCCCAGTCGGGAGTCCGTTGTAGTCGTGCTGCCAGCGGTCGAAGCCACGGAACCGAACTTTTGCTCCACACCTCAGGAGCCACTCGGCAGCAGCTCGATCAGGACCCACTGCTTTAATACGCTCATAATCAACTCTATATTGATCAAAGAACACAACAATTACTAAAATAATGCATCTGGAAAGCCGATGTGACAGTTTAAGCAGTGACTGTCTGCTGTGTGAGTGTGACATGCCATCTAAAACCAGTGATAAACCAATTAAGCATCTGCTTTTTAGCCATTTTTAATGAATAGTGCACATTTTCAGTTTTGTACAAACTACCATTCAAAAGTTTGGGGTCGGTAAGATCTCTTATGCTCACCAAGGCTACATTTATTAGATCAAAATATATTGTAAAATGTAATTTATTCCTGTGAATTCAAAGCTGAATTTTCAGCATCATTACTCCAGTCTTCAGCGTCACATGATCCTTCAGAAATCATTCTAATATGTTGTTTGGGTTCTCAAGAAACATTTCTTAATATTTCTTAAATTACTTAAAGGAATAGTTAATTCTATCATCATTTACTTATCCTCAAGTTGTTTCAAACCTGCTTCTTTCTTCAGCAGAACACAAAGGAAGATATTTTGAAGAATGTCGGTAACCAAACTGACCCCATTGACTTCAATAATATTTTTTTTCCTACTATGGAAGTTAATGGGGTCCATCAACTGTCTGGTTACCAACGTTCTTCAAAATTTCTTCTTTTGTGTTCAGAAGAAGAAAGAAATTCATACAGATTTGAATTTATTTCACTAAGCGGCAAATGGCAACACAGCTTTTTGGCAGTGGTATTGGCCAAAAAAACGAACATTTGTCGACCACTATTTTGTACAGTATTTTTCAGAGACTATGGAACTTTTAAAATTAATTTGTCACACTTCAGGACTGTTTAAGTGAACTGCAAAAAAGCTCGGAGATGATTACAAATCAGTAAAAACCACCCCTATATATACAGTAGAGATCAAAATTAAAGAACAACATACAATTTACTCAATTTCAAGGTCACTGTCCTAGTTAAGAGTTAACCTAACAGGAGCAGAAGGGCCGTTTGTTTTAGCATATTTCATAAGTTAAATATATTTAACTACAGTATATAAAACTTAAATGAGACAATTAAAAAATAACTCTGAGAAAGAGTTTTCAAAATTAGAAAACTCTTTCAGATACCTCCAAGTTATTGGTGATAATGTGGCACCTGGTGCTAATTTCCTTAATTATCTGGCACACCCTATTTAACTAGCAGCAAACTTTCATATTTTAACTGACTTTGCAAGATGGCAAGCCGCTCTAAGGTGACTGAAACCCTAGACACCAGGTTGTACAGAATACAGATGAAGGCCAAAGGGATGACCCTTTCAGCTATTGCCACAGAAATTGTCCGTTCCAAATCTGTGATTTCTAGAACTAGTGCAATGCCCGTGCAAAATCTGTTTTTGTGTGTTTTTAGTAATTGTTGGTTTGGTATGTTTGAGTTGCTGAATAGCCTAGGCTACTATTACACAGAAGCCTAAACTCGGAGAAAACGATAACGTTAAGCGCACCAGAATAAAATATAATATTCAGAATTAAACAGTGTAGCTGACTTACAGATTCAGTTAACATCCACAAATGAATAAGCGATTCAGGGGAGGTTCAGACCTTGGCTGGAGCAGCTATACAGTGAACTTCGAGAAAACGCTACGCTTGAGCAAACAGTTTGTGAATAGGCTTCTACAAATGATGGCCGTGAATAAAATATAATATTCAGATATTTTTAAACCACAACCCTCTAATGTCAGAATGTTTATTTTGGGGAGTGTCCACTCAGTGTGCAGTGTGAGAGGGGGAGTGGCCACTCAGTGTGCAGTGTGAGAGGGGGAGTGTCCACTCAGTGTGCAGTGTGGAGGGGGAGTGTCCACTCAGTGTGCAGTGTGAGAGGGGGAGTGGCCACTCAGTGTGCAGTGTGGAGGGGGAGTGGCCACTCAATGTGCAGTGTGGAGGGGGAGTGGCCACTCAGTGTGCAGTGTGAGAGGGGGAGTGTCCACTCAGTGTGCAGTGTGGAGGGGGAGTGTCCACTCAGTGTGCAGTGTGAGAGGGGGAGTGGCCACTCAGTGTGCAGTGTGGAGGGGGAGTGGCCACTCAATGTGCAGTGTGGAGGGGGAGTGGCCACTCAGTGTGCAGTGTGAGAGGGGGAGTGTCCACTCAGTGTGCAGTGTGAGAGGGGGAGTGGCCACTCAGTGTGCAGTGTGAGAGGGGGAGTGGCCACTCAGTGTGCAGTGTGAGAGGGGGAGTGTCCACTCAGTGTGCAGTGTGGAGGGGGAGTGTCCACTCAGTGTGCAGTGTGAGAGGGGGAGTGGCCACTCAGTGTGCAGTGTGGAGGGGGAGTGGCCACTCAATGTGCAGTGTGGAGGGGGAGTGGCCACTCAGTGTGCAGTGTGAGAGGGGGAGTGGCCACTCAGTGTGCAGTGTGAGAGGGGGAGTGTCCACTCAGTGTGCAGTGTGGAGGGGGAGTGGCCACTCAGTGTGCAGTGTGAGAGGGGGAGTGTCCACTCAGTGTGCAGTGTGAAAGGGGGAGTGGCCACTCAATGCACAGTGTGGAGGGGGAGTGGCCACTCAATGTGCAGTGTGGAGGGGGAGTGGCCACTCAATGTGCAGTGTGGAGGGGGAGTGGCCACTCAGTGTGCAGTGTGAGAGGGGGAGTGGCCACTCAGTGTGCAGTGTGGAGGGGGAGTGGCCACTCAGTGTGCAGTGTGGAGGGGGAGTGGCCACTCAGTGTGCAGTGTGAGAGGGGGAGTGGCCACTCAATGTGCAGTGTGGAGGGGGAGTGGCCACTCAATGTGCAGTGTGGAGGGGGAGTGGCCACTCAATGTGCAGTGTGGAGGGGGAGTGGCCACTCAGTGTGCAGTGTGAGAGGGGGAATGTCCACTCAGTGTGTAGTGTGGAGGGGGAGTGGCCACTCAATGTGCAAAATCTGTTTTTGTGTGTTTTTAGTAATTGTTGGTTTGGTATGTTTGAGTTGCTGAATAGCCTAGGCTACTATTACACAGAAGCCTAAACTCTGAGAAAACAATAACGTTAAGCGCACCAGAATAAAATATAATATTCAGAATTAAACAGTGTAGCTGACTTACAGATTCAGTTAACATCCACAAATGAATAAGCGATTCAGGGGAGGTTCAGACCTTGGCTGGAGCAGCTATACAGTGAACTTCGAGAAAACGCTACGCTTGAGCAAACAGTTTGTGAATAGGCTTCTACAAATGATGGCCGTGAATAAAATATAATATTCAGATATTTTTAAACCACAACGCTCTAATGTCAGAATGTTTATTTTGGGGAGTGTCCACTCAGTGTGCAGTGTGAGAGGGGGAGTGGCCACTCAGTGTGCAGTGTGGAGGGGGAGTGGCCACTCAATGTGCAGTGTGGAGGGGGAGTGGCCACTCAATGTGCAGTGTGGAGGGGGAGTGGCCACTCAGTGTGCAGTGTGGAGGGGGAGTGGCCACTCAATATGCAGTGTGGAGGGGGAGTGGCCACTCAGTGTGCAGTGTGGAGGGGGAGTGGCCACTCAGTGTGCAGTGTGAGAGGGGGAGTGGCCACTCAGTGTGCAGTGTGAGAGGGGGAGTGGCCACTCAGTGTGCAGTGTGGAGGGGGAGTGGCCACTCAGTGTCCAGTGTGGAGGGGGAGTGGCCACTCAGTGTCCAGTGTGGAGGGGGAGTGGCCACTCAGTGTGCAGTGTGAGAGGGGGAGTGGCCACTCAATGTGCAGTGTTAGAGGGGGAGTGGCCACTCAGTGTGCAGTGTGGAGGGGGAGTGGCCACTCAGTGTGCAGTGTGAGAGGGGGAGTGGCCACTCAGTGTGCAGTGTGGAGGGGGAGTGGCCACTCAGTGTGCAGTGTGGAGGGGGAGTGGCCACTCAATGTGCAGTGTGGAGGGGGAGTGGCCACTCAGTGTGCAGCTTGGAGGGGGAGTGGCCACTCAATGTGCAGTGTGAGAGGGGGAGTGGCCACTCAGTGTGCAGTGTGAGAGGGGGAGTGGCCACTCAGTGTGCAGTGTGAGAGGGGGAGTGGCCACTCAGTGTGCAGTGTGAGAGGGGGAAAACACCTGTCAAGTTTGAAATCCGTCGGACTAACGGTTCGAGAGATATTCGATTAACAGACAAAAGACAGACAGACATTTCTGTAATTTATAGATAGATCTTGAAGCTTTACAAAGACACTCATTCAAGTCCCCCGAAAAGGCTGGTCGTCCATGTAAGACAAATGCACGAGAGGACAGGACGATGCGGAGACTTTCAATGGGGAATCGGTTCAACACGGCAGCTGGAATTTCTCGCCAGTTCAGAGCTGAACACAGTAAGGATCTGTCTCGGCATACAGTGTCTCGTCGTTTAAGAGAATTCGGACTGAAAGCTCACTCTGCAGTGACCAAGCCTCTCATCAGCAGAAAGAATCAAAAGGCTAGACTAACCTTTGCGGAGGAGCATGTTGTGTGGACAGGAGAACTGGTCAAAAGTTCACTTTAGTGATGAAAGTAAGTTTAATTTATTTGGGTCCGATGGGAAACATTATGTTCGGCGTCAAACTGGGGAAAGATTGAATCCCAAGTGCGTAAAGAAGTCAGTCAGAGGTGGAATAGGAAGTGTCATGGTTTGGGGGATGTTTTCTGCAGAGTTGGGCCTATAATACAGCTACATGGCAGGGTGAATGCAAATGTTTATCAGAACCTCCTTCGCCAACATGCGTTTCCTTCCCTGCAAGAATCTCCCAATCAGCCCGCAATTTCATGCAAGACAATGCCCCCTGTCACACTGCAAAAGGGGTAAAGCAGTTCCTTGAAGCTCAGAAAATTGAAATAATGAAATGGGCTGCCCAGAGTCCTGATCTAAATCCGATTAAAAATCTTTGGAAAATCCTTGGTGACAAAGCTATGACTAAGAAACCCACTACAATAACCGAACTGTGGAAGAGACTGAAAGAAGAGTGGACCAAGATCACACCAGAGCAGTGTGAGAATCTAGTGATGTCCTGTGGCCGCAGATGTGCTCAGGTCATTCAAAGCAAGGGCCTCTACACTTCCTACTAAATTTTGACTGCTCTAAGCATCAAATTTTAGTTGTAATGCTTTCTTATGTGCTGCAATGGTTATTGTTCTCTAATTTTGATCGCTGGGTTTTCCACAAAATAAAGGTTTTTGTTTAAGTACCTTGGTTATTTTGTAAAAAAATGCCAGTAGAACAATAGTATACCCACAGTGAATATTCCTTCAAATTTCAAGCAATGAAGATTAACAATATTTCTGAAAATAATCAAGTGTTTCTTAATTGTTCTCTAAATCTCTACTGTATATACTTCACATCCACTGGACAGCCAAAAACATTTTTAAAAGTATAAAACTGAACTGCTAGATGCTATTACTTTAAAGTTACAAGTTTAGACTCTAAATAAGAGCTGTTGTTGTGAATTACCACATTTAAATTAGTCTCTGTAGATGTCATGAAAGAGCAATTCCACACAGTAGAGATTTCTCACTCTAAGGAATAGTCACTCTAGACATTATAGTCCCTTTATAGGTATCTATGGCTATTTTGTTTCTTATAACAGGCCTCAGGTGCTTTACAGTCTGCTGTGGGTTGGGAAAGGAAATAAATTATGACATTAGAGAACTAAACTAGTTACATAATTGTTGTCTTGGAAAAATGTTCAAAACTTACTTGTTGAAAACAGCATTGAGCCACCCCCAGAACTCTCGACTGCCCCCTGGCGGCTGCTTGCGTGCGGATAAAACCATCCGCGCTGACCAGGTCAACAATCTCATGTCTATGACTAAAATAAAGAGAGAGAAAGAGACGACACGTCAAAGCATGAAGACGCACTGTTTAAATACACTTTCTAATAAAAGATCGAGAAGAATAATCTGTGTGCGTTGATTGTCTTGTCATTGAATCTAGAGGACAACATATTAATTTATCTAAATGCAGTACAGATCCAAGAGAATCTGTTCTAATCTCATTCAGAACCGCTACAAAAAGAAGGCCAAATAGTGTGAAACTTACAAAACTGGCCGTATGGTTCGGGTTGTGCTGAATCTGATCTGTATGTGCGTAGTATCTGTTAGGTTATTTACATCCCGTGTCCGCCATGCGCGCGCGTTGATCGTTCACCTTTTACGTCACCCCGTCCCGCGCTCCCATTGGTCAGTGAGTGTGCGACCTGTGCGTCAGGGGCGGGGCCACGAAGGACAAGCTTTTCAGCGCAGCGCCCGAGCGAAGAGATTCCTAAAACCAGACTGGGTCAAAGACGAGCACTATGATCACACGGCCATGATAAGTCTGTTAGGGAAAGTAAAAACTTACTTTGTGGAATAATGATACGAACTTTCTGTACCGGATATGTGTGCGCGCGTTTACTTCCACAGGGATCAAAGTCTGCAACGTGCAGAGCTGCACATCACAGCGGGTGAGAATAACAACATCTCTTCTACAGTGTAGCACATAAAAGAACAGTTCAGAGTATTTACAGTGACAGAAAATGTTCTGACTGTAGTGTCACACTAAGAATCCTATTAAAAGTATTTCGGCTGTAGTATGACTGTAAGTATCTATTGTGACTGCACAGTAATACTGTTGTCAGGGTACATTCAATGACACTTCAGTTAAGGGCAGGTTTAAAAACACAGAACCGTATCTTAAGACCACAAAAAACGTGAGACTTTTCAGACGCGCACTCCAACTTCACCTCTGCGCCAGGCGCAAGTCAAACGAGTGCGGAAATGTACAGGTGCCGAATAAGCTTCAGCAGTGATCGGAGCATTGTAAATATAGATTCGATGTTCCTCAACTGGTGGGTTGCAAGACCGTTTTGAGTCAGTCGCATATGTCCAGTCAAAGAAACAACAACGTAATTCTCTTTTTTTTTCTGATTCTACTTTTATTTTGAAAGATCTGTGTGAAAGCTTGTGACACTTATGTCAGATGCGGAGAAAAGCGCGTTGTCCTGAATCAGTTGGCTATCTGCTGTAAGATGAGATGTTGCAAGGTCAACAAATGTCAGTAAAACTAACTTTTTACTGTCCTGTCAGACGTTGTAGGCTACTGTAGGCCTACTTGCACATCACGCGCAAATGTGGCGTGCTGTAGCCGTAGTTCTGTCGTCAATTAACTCGTGAAATAATCAAAAAGGCGATCAAATCTGTGTCAAAACTGCATGCATGTATGTATTTGTTATATATGCGTCTAGACTAAAATATTCTGCCATATTTAAGGCACAAACTGATAGGCTATGTGTTTTTTAATGTACAAATAAATGTGAGCACTGTGCATTTGTACTAGAAGATAGGCAGTAATTTTTCGTTCATTTGTAAAGGACAAAATAAAATGCATAATTTTTAAAACTATAAAATAACTAATTTTACATTCTGCCATTTATGTGCGCATGTTGACTTCTGCCTTGTTCACATTTTTGCACATAGGGATTCAAAAGAGATGTTTCCCCCCTTTTTAATTAGGTATGATAGAACGATTTAGATTCTTTATTTTGACTACTAATATAGAAAGTTGAAGAGTTAATTGATTATATAAAATTCAATGAAGGGTATAATCTTTGAACTACAGTATTTATCTGCATGTCTCATCCATGAAGGTGCAACAATGTTGGGGGTTTTGAGAACCAAAACCATGCTAACTGAGCAAGTTTACCATATCCTCCTGAGACCCAGAAAAAAAAAGTTTTTTGAATTTAGTTTTTTTCCATGTCATCAAACTGTTTAGAGCACAATAAACAAATGGTAAAAAAACACATATATAAAATAATATTTTATTCATACGTTATGCTATGTCCTCTGTAGTGGACGCCAGGACTAAGTTGTTGAAAAAATAAAATGACATGAAATTATATGTATAGGCAAAAACAATGGGATTTTTTTTCAATCACCAATAAATTTTGGGGTTTCAGGATTTTTTCAACCAAAATTTGTATAAAGATTATTCTCAACTATGTTATGAAAGAAATAATGGAATGAATTGATACACCATTTTACTTTTTGCAATATGTGGGTAAAATGGCCATAAATTAATATTCCCATTCAATGCAATGTATCTATACACTGTATCTAATTTGCACATTAATGTGTTCTTGGAGCAACATTTAATGAAAAAAGAAGTGTAACAATTGGAGTAATTATTGGCAACATTTTAATAATATCATCTAATATTTCATAGGAATATTGATGTATAATTTATCTCCATATTCACTTGTTGTGTCTCCCAGAATGCCTGATAAACATGGTTTTAGTCCTGATGTCCTCTACAGTGGACACGTTTGAAATCAATGCCCTGTTCTTTAACAGAAAGTATTTTTTTTATTTGAAACCCCTTAACATTTTCCTGAGATGTTGTTTTATGAAATACAATTAGAAAAAGTAGTCCAATTTAAATATAATTACAATATATTATCATATTTCCATAAGAATGCTACATTTGATCACTAAATTAATGTCAGACATTTTTAAAGACCAAGGAGAAGTTGTTTTCATGGTGAAACCTCCAAACATTTGGTATCTCTGAAAAGTCCTGAATGTGCTCTTTACAGGACACCCAGGTTGTGTCATGTGACATGTATGATGTCAGAGAAATTCACTAAAATATAATGTCCACTACAGTGGACAAAAGTCTATTCTTGGGTCCCAGGAGGATATGACTAAAGAACTTTAGCTATAGTGTGTGTCCCCTTTATTAATATGCCTGGAGGTGGTAAGTAGCTAATAATAATAAAAAACTATCAAATTCACTCAGTATTCCATGATTCCTAATTCACTACTCTCTCAATTACAATTGAATACAAATGAACTGTATTCAGTTGTGTAGGAACAGTCCAATACATTATTTAAACTAATTATTCTGTTAAAATAATTAAGATTTATGTGCCACCCCAGACTGTTTGCTGGCCCCTGCCTGGCCACACCTATGAAAAAATCCTGGCCCCGCCACTGGTTCACCGATATTATAAAAGGGGATTGTTCAGTGTAATAATTTACTTATCCTCGTGTCGTTCCAAACCTGTATGACCTACTGTCTTATGCGGAAGACAAAAGAAAATATTTTGAGGAGTGTTGGTAACCAAACAGTTTGGTTACCATTGGATTTCATTGTATGGAGGGTAAAAAAAACTTACATTCTTCAAAATATCATTATTTATGTTCCACAGAAGAAGAAAAGTCAAACATGTTTGGAATTATATGAGGGTGAGTAAATGTTAACAATTTTAACATTGGGGGGTGAACTATGCCTTTAAAGTCACAGCTGATACCGATAAACCAATAATTATTTTGTCTTTTGGCCGATAACTAGTAAATGGACAAATGTTTAAAAAAATCTATACCGTTTTTAATAAATAAATCAAACACTATATACTAAAATCAGACATTTCATATGCTACAAGTGAAATTGGGCATCACAGCATTATGTGATTTTCTACAGATTACATTTTAACAGTGATAATAAACTATTTGTGTTAGTAAACATCAACTTTAAGTGAGTGTTCGATGATGACAAATAGTAAAAATAGATGAAATGTGCATGCACAATTAAATTTCCAATCTCGGCTGATAATATACCATTATATTGTGTAGCTCTTTCGATGTGGCTGTTATTGGTGGAGGGATTGTTGGACTGGCCTCTGCCAGAGAGATGATCCTCAGGCACCCAAACCTCACCTTTACCCTGCTGGAGAAAGAGAAAGAGCTTGGTGAGTGTGCATTGGTTCTTCTAGATGCTCATTCATATATCCATCCTGATTTCATTTTCATTTCTTTGGTGTCTCCCCTCCAGCTGTCCATCAGACAGGTCATAACAGTGGTGTGATCCACAGTGGGATTTACTACACTCCGGGCTCTCTGAAGGCTCAGCTTTGTGTTCGTGGAGCCACGCTGACATATCAGTACTGTCAGAAGAAAGGTGTCCCTTATAAGAGATGTGGCAAGGTAAAAATGAGCACAGGCGCCTCAACACCACAGATACCAAATCCTGGTCCTGACAAAGAGATTTGTCTCTATAGTATCTAGTGTGTATGTGTGTGTGACCGCAGCTTATCGTAGCAGTGGAGAAAGAGGAGGTTCCACGTCTGAAAGCTCTATATGAGCGCGGTCAGAAGAACAATGTACGAGATCTCCAGCTGATTGACGCCAAAGCCATTCGAGAGAGAGAGCCGTACTGCAGGGTGAGTGACACCTGTTTGTGTGTTAATGAGAGATTAGGTACATATTTTCCACGCGTGTATCATTCATTGGTTTGATCAATAACCAGCAGATTGCAAAAGTGCTGTCATCAGGCTTTTACCTGGTTCAGGTGACCTTAGGCCTGCTGTTTCAAACACTGATTTATTAACCTATTTATGATCGTCATCTATGTGTTTGAATGTTGTATGACGTCAGGGGCGGATCTACAGGGGGGCAAGGGGGGGCAGGTGCCCCCCCACTCTAGAGCCTTGCCCCCCCAGCTGCCCCCCTAACTTTGATGATCCAAAAACTGTACTTGTAAAAACAACCTGCCACTATGTCCACAATCTTCTCAAAACAGTGAACTAAACAATACATTTACCAAAAGTGAACAATTTAATTTTTAATTTTAAATATATTATTAGCCCCTGCGTCCCTGTTTCAAACGTGCAGAGCGGGCGGCGTTGGCGGCTCACACACTCACAGCGAGTCTGCTGCGGTGAGGTGGCCCTGCAACCCGACTGGAGAGAGTGAGCTTCCCCAGAGCCTCTGAAGTCTGAAGGTGAAGTGAGTTTCCCCAGGTGTAGTTTAAACACACACGTTTAACTTAAAGTTACATTTGTAATGAATGTATTGTATACTAAAGACGATTCAGCATCAGCAAAAACAGCGCGTCTATTACGTTAGCCAAAATCAGCGGTCAAATCGCTCCCTCGTGATTTGTAAGAGCACTCTTCCCTTTGATTAGCCTAATTTTGATTTTAGTAAAGACAAGAACAGCTTAATGCGAGACACAAAAACATAGGGGTTTTTTTCACTGGTTAATTTTAAGATTTTGGGCTATTTGTCTTCAATAACATGTCTTCTTTCAGACTTGTGGTGAAAAAAATTCCAAAAAAACACATTTAGGACTTTATTTTACTACACTTTGTCTATTT